TCCAAACAAGGCAGCAAGATTACGAATTCCTGGATGTACAGTAGGCATTAACTATTGCACTGGGATATCTGAACTTTGAAAGCCTCTTTCTGCGCCTGTACAGCTTTGCACTTGAAAGAGGGTTGAATATTGACCTAATTTGTCTTTTAAAAGGACATAGAGTTTTACTAGAATACTTATGCTATTGAAGTAGACAAATGCAGGTGCTATTCCTTGGGCAGTCGGCGTGGAAGGGTGATGTGCTCTAAGATTTACTGTGCATCACCTTAGCCATCATTCCCATAAGTATTAATTTTAACTCCACTAATAAGAAACTGAACAAAAGTGGAATTATGAGTTCAGTAGTATTCTATGAAAGGTCAGTTGTTAAAAAGGCAGAGCCTGACATTCTGTGAAAAAGGTGCCTTCATTAATCATCCTGATAGGATAGCATAGGATATTCTTGACCAGTACCAGTGAACCTTACAATATAATGTTTCGGGAAGTGGTGCTTAATTCTTTGTATAAAAACAGGGTTATCTGAATGAATGTAGAATGACCATTTTTTTTCTAAGTACTGTAACATTCCTATTGCCCTTTGTCAATGCAAGGTAGGGAGAAATTAATGGAGACGCTTCTTATACAGCATACTGTCATTATTTTAAAAGTTTGTTCATTTTGTAAAAGCATAGATTACTTGGGAATAACATTTAAAAACACGGTTTATGAGAATATAAATGTGATAATAAGAAACACTAATATTAAAGTAATTTATAAAGTACTTAGAACCTCTCGGAAGTATTCCTTATTATATGCTTTAAATGTGTAGTTTTGTTTTGCATTAATTCATCTCTGTGAATCATGAACAATTGCTCTCGTATAAAACTAACAGTTTTAATTGTGGCGTGTAATGTTTCCTTGTGTAAAACTACTCTCCAGAATTGTTCGTGGTTCATCCTTGTCCGCCCTAGTGATAGCAATTTTAAAGTTAATACAAATTATATCAATTATTAAGTACGGGGCTGGGGGAACATTAATCAGGAGCGCATCTTCATGGTGACCGYTGCTGACAGAGGCTGGTGCAGGGAGCCGGTGGGAGCCGGTGGCCGCTGCCGGGGCCCCTGCGTGGGACAGGGGCTCCCTGGCAGGTCCCGGGCCCTGCTCCTCTTCCTCGTCGCGGTGGGAGCACCCGGCACGGGACATCTCACCTGCTTCATCCTCCAAAGCCGCCGGCCGCGGTGTCACTTTGCAGAGCGGCTGTTTGTGCTACCCTCAGTAGGTCCGTGGGTTGCTTGCCACAAGTGACCACGTTCCCCTCTGCTTGTGGACTCTCTGCCTGAGACGTGCGGGGCGAGAACTCGCCAGTGATTTGTTGTTGAAGCTTTCTGCTCCGTTAGCGGCGCGGCGCGCTTTGCAAGAGCCATTGTCTAAGAGTTAGTAATATTTGTAATGAGCTGTATAATATGGGCCCTTTTTCTAAATTTAAAAACAGATGGTATCTCTTAACAACAGTTTATCATGCAAATTGAACCCTAGCAAAACATTCTTTCAGTGGTTATGTTGCTGTAGGCCAAATTATGGGCTCTTTTTTTTTTCTTTTTTCTTCTATTTTTTTCCCCGTGTGTAATCGCAAAAGGAAATAGTTGTCGTTTATTAGGCAGTTGTGACAGATACAAACTAGTTCTGGCCAAATTTCAGCTGCCCTCTCAGAAGTAAAAATTCTGGCCTTGACTATAGCATGTCAGTTTTTCTTCATGCCTTTAATGCACGCTTTGCTGTTTACCTTCAGAATTTATCACTTTTGCTGTCTGTTCCAGAGGTATTTTTTATTTATGCATATATGTGTGATTTTTCTCTTTTCAGTTTTGACTGTGAATGAGAATTTACCTTGCGCAAGGACTTGCGCCCGTTGATGTGAACCAAGTGAGAAGATGAGAGGATGTGATGCACGGTTCTGACTTGGAGAACTAAGGCAAAAGGGGATCGTGTCAAATCAGCTGCCTTGAAATTACGTTATCAAAAGAACTCTCTCATGCCCGGTATATTTCATGCTAATCCTGGGAGGGGGAAGACTTTAAAATTGAGGTAGTGTTCCTGTTTATAATAGCAATCTTTTTTGCCTTAAACTGTGCAAAACATTTTGAAATTTCACAGTACTCTATAGGCTGCTCTGTAATTTCTGCTCTTACAGGTGTGGTTCACGGTGCCGTATCCCGGTGTGCTGGAACAGGGGCTAAAATAAACAGGCAAATCGGGTGAGGTGTGCATGGCGTTTTCCGCCCCTTTTTTGTGCTTCTCGTTCAGAGCTGCTCTCTGTCTGGATGATCTCCCCTCGGGATTCCCCTGGGCTCCCCGCTGCCTTTCCCGTGTGCTGGGAAGGGGATTTTGCTCGTTCAGCTGCTCCTCTCCCTTCCCGGGTTGCTTGAGCCCAGCTCCCCGGTGGTTTTACCCTCTTTTCTTTGACTAATGGGGCACGTTATGAGAAGGTTGGTAATAGGGACCAGAGCAGGGGGCAGAATGTCCCTTAAATTTTGTCAGGTCTTGTTCATCCTAGCAAGACAGTTGATTGAAACCCATCCTTTGAGATGGACAGTTGCCCCAGGAAGAGGGGCCAGGTGAATGACAAGGACAATGATGGTGGCATCTTGAAGATCCTGTTGTCTTCTTCTTCCCTAAACCTCTAGGGAGATGAACAGCCAATCTAGTGGTGTCCAGCCCAGGTTTTGTTCAGAGACACGAATGGAAGGAGCTTCACGCTTGCTCTGCGAGCAGGATGCTCATGTTGCTTTTGTTCCACCGGCGAGGGAGGCTGCTGGACATCACACTTCCCAAAACAGGGCATAATCCTATTTTGTCATTACTAGCCTGGCCTGTACTTAAAGCACGTATTAATGACTTTGTGTCCTTTGTCCAGGGGCGCTGTCTCTCCTAGAACAGGAGCTAGAACATCAGGGGCTCGGGTGCAGTGCTGAGGTGTCCGTGCAGCTGATGGAGCAGTCTAGGACTTCTTGCAGCCCTAGATAGAAACAAGTTCTTACCGAATTCAGGATTAGATTAAAAAGAAAAAAAGCCTGAAAAGTGCCTACTTGAGCAGGGGGTTGGACTGGATGATCTCCAGAGCTCCTTTCCAACCTCAGCCATTCTGGGATTCTGTGAAAACACAGGGTTTTCTTGTGCTTAGTTTGCTAGTTTACAACTTAGAACAAAAACGTGTGTAAACAACCGAAAACTGCACTGTGTGAAAAATGAAATACTTATAATTTAGAAGTGATTAAACAACTAGGAAAGAATAGTTAAAATAAAGGCAGTATTAAATTTGATTGTGTCGTCAGGGGTTACACCGATTTGTACTTGATCAAATCCCTGCTAGAGCAGAGGGTCAGGTGAACAACCACCCAGTTCTCCTTTACCAACTGTGTGTCATTAAATAGCAGGGAAGTCTCTCCATGGGTAAACTATATAAAATATCTTCCGTAGTGGGGGTTTATGTCTGAAAATTGTCGTTCCAGATGTGGCAAACCTCCCCCATTGAAGTCCCTCCATAAATGCAGTCGCCTCCATGTCCCATGGCAGAGAGGGCAGCCAGGGCAGCTGGATGTGGTTCCTGGCCACCGGGGTCCTGCTGCTGCCAGCACTGGCAGGGCTGACCCTAAATCCCGTGATTTCCGACCAAAGCGAGCCGTCTCCGTGTGCAATAGTGTTGCTTCCAGCGTGTCCATGGGGTCCAATTAACGTGAGGTCAGCTGTTACTCCGGGAAGTAAGAAAAACTAGAGCCCCTTATCGCTAAGTCTTTGTTTTAGGCTGACCCAAGGCTGGTCGTGACGAGAGCTCGTTTCTGCACTGCGGTTACTCAGTGGCCTATACAATAATTTATGGGCTCAATTAATTTTCTCCGTGGCAGGTGTTGTGCTAATCAGCAGTCTCCAAAGAGGTGTCAGGTGCTCCATGGGTGGTGGGAACTCGACTCGGACGCTGAGCAGGTCTGGCTGGGTCGGGAGCCGTGTTTCCCTTCCCGTCTCGGGGTGTCCCCCTCGTCCCGCTCATCCCAACGCGCCTGTGGTGGGATGGGTTGTCCTGGTTTAGGCCAATTTGCAGCCTTTTGTGCTTCCCCTTCCACCCCTGCCTCCAACCCAGCGGGTGAGGAAGAGGATGGTGATGGTTTATCCAAATTTTTATTCTAAAAAACACGGGATTTGGCCGATCCGAGAGGAGGGACGTTGCTTCCCCACCACTGACCATGGAATTTGGGAGTTTCGGGAATGCTCCGTGTCACCGTTTGGTGCCGTTCCCAAGGCTCCACGCTGGCCCTGCCACGGCCCCCGGGATGTCTCCCATGGGAAGCAGGGCGCCGGGGGGAGCTTCCCCCATGTAAAGCCGGGAAAACGGGCAACCTCATTCCGTGAATAAAAATGGGAAATGCATTGAAGTCTAGATACAGTATCTTTGTAGTAATAAAAGCAGTAGTACAGATTTACTGGTGAAGGAGTTTTAACTGTAATACTGTGGAATAGTAGGTTATTTTGTGTTCAAGAGCTACATTTATCACAAAAATGATGATATACAAATCACTTCCATATCACAAAATGTTCTTGGTCAAAATTGGCTTGAGGCAAGTGATATCTTCGAGTAAACAGTATATGAAGACCATATCTTAAAATGATAGATCACCTAATTTTGTTCTGACAGAGGTTTTTGCCGCAACAAACATCTGTCACTGAAATACCAATTCAGAGATATGGAAGCCAAATTGTGGAGGTTTTCTAGTATTTGTCACTCCTAACTTAAGAATGCTACTGTTAGTCCTATAGATATTTGCAGATAGTCGGCAGCTTGCCGTTTAAGCACCCTGAAGTATTTAGGTAAGTATTTTAAGAGATAGAAGCGTCTCTAAATGCAGATGAGGAGCTGGCTGCCCGCACAGCCCGGCGCCGCAGGTAGAGCCCGGAGCCCTGCGGAACGTGCAGCTGCACACGGCATTGGGGCACCTGCTCCATGGAATATATATGGGAATCAAGTCGAGCCGTGCACGTTCCTCAAATGCATTGCAAGGTAATTAGTCGTGTGCACGTCTCTGCAGCTAGCACCTTCTGAATAAGCGATTTGACCAGTGGTGAGCAGCACTGGTTGAACTGTGGTTTTAGGTGCCCGTTTGTTGCGGAGCTGCTGGTGAACAAGGATATTTGGCTGGGAGCTGCCTGTATCCTGCAGCTTGTGCAGCAAGGGTGGCGTGGCAAACACCAGTGCAGCAAAGTGCCTGCTGAGTGATCAGGGTTGTTGTTATATATCATGTATTTTCGACTAATTGCTTCCACCATTACCTCTTTTGTCTGGTTTACACCGCTCATATGGAAATATCAGATTAAATACCTATTCTCAGTATTCCGGCATGTGACTGTACATGCAAACTTTGGGACTACATGCTTGGGGCTTTGGGACTACATCCTGAGGGATGTGGGAGCCTGAGATGCCCTGGAAGACATTGGAGTAGCCACTTGCTTCGTTCACGTCATCAAAACTGCTGCTTGCTCCGCGCAGGGGTTAGTGCTCAGACCCCCACGTGTCACAGACCGAGCGCAAAAATAGAGTTTCTTGCTTTCTGAGTTATGGGCCACGGGAAGCAGATTTACAGATGGGTTTCCATAGGATAGGAATTACCTGTGCTGTGTGTTACCTCTGGCAAGAGTAAGGCAAAGCAAACAAGAAATGAGCCCTGCCAGTGCAGAAAATAAAACTACTACAAGGAACATGATTTTTGCTTCTATTTCTTTTTTTTTTTTCCTATAGCTTTCTGATTCAACCATTAAACTCAATCAACGCCGCTGATGGTTTAAATGCAAGATAATCTCTAAGGACTTGTTTAATTTGGACAAAAAAAAAAAAAGGAAAAAAAGATGAACTACTTACCAGGTTTTCATGTGCAGTATTCGGGGAAATAATTTGGTTAAGTTTCATGAGGTGTAAATTTAAATGTATGAGATTCTGCCTTTTCTGCCTTTGCTGCATCATAATGAAAGTTAATTTCAGTGTTGGGCCGGGCTGGAGGGCGTGTGGGGAGCAGAGCTTGGTGCATGTGCACATGCAGCATGCATGCAGCCTGCATACGTGCATGCTGCATGCGTGCAGCCTGCGTGTTACATGCTGTGTGTTGCATGCTGCGTGTTGCATGCAGGCTGCATGTGTGTGTGCATGCTGCCTACGTGCATGCTGCGTGTTGCATGCTGCGTGCACACACGCGGGGCAGTGCTCCAACCAGCTTCCCGCTTTCCCCCGGCTGAGGAATCCGTGCGGAACCCGCCGGGAAACCCGAGCGCTCGCATGGCGGGAAGGAAGGGGTTAAGGAATTCATAAAAAATGAAGGATCCTGATATTAAAGTGGGGGAAAATGTGGGTGAATGACATATTTTTTACACACCTCAACTGTCAACATTTCTAATCAAATCATCCAGCCTTCTTGCTTCTTAAATGATACAAGCAATATTTCCTGTAATAAACACCCCTAAGTCTAATGAGAGGCCCTAAGGCAACTTCAAATGTATGAATTCATTATAATTGAACAACATAATCTGCAGGGCAAAGATGCCTGCTACCCAGTCTTTTAACTTCATACGGCTTGGGTGTTCTATGAAAAATGTTATACATTTTGTTTACAATGTATTGCTGCTATTTGAAGTATTGTATGTTCCTGTAGTACATAAGATGGGGACGCATAATGGAGGAAAAATCAAGGAGGCAATCTTTCATTTTGTTCTGGTATGAAAAATTCAAAAGACTGGAAACTCACCCAGAGAAATTTTGCAAGCATATTATTTTCCGATGTTTCGATCAATTTGTCTGTCAACCATGCTGAGAGGTGGAAGGGGCCAGCAAAAGCAATTTAGCTTGTGAGGTCCAAAATAGAAATGTTTTAGGAAACCTTGTCACATGTTATTTTTTTGTATTAGAACTGCTGTGTTTTTTATTTGCTAGTCATATTATGAAGAGAAATTGGTATCAATCATCTAAATCACCTATGAATATCTGATGTAACTATTACTTTTGTGCATATAAATAAGGGAAAAAAATATTTAAATGAAGCTTTTAAAGCATACGAAAACCTTTGGGTAGACAACAGGCTCCCCGCTCGGGTTTTCCCATTTAAAAAATATACTGTGCATTTTAATTGATTGCACCCAAGTGACATCATCCTGAATCATCTCGCGCACGAACACATTGACCTCTCCGCGGCTTTAATTAAGCCGTGATTGCTTTATGATAAGTTTGCTGGGGATGGATAGGTTGTCGGGCGGCCGCCGGAGCGGCCCGCGTTCCGCGCGGCGGGATTAACGTCGGGAAGGGCGGGATTGATGGACGCGGCGGTGTGGGATCCACACGGGATCCACACGGCCATGGGGTCCGGGGTGGGCGAGGCGGGAGCGAGCAGCTCTGCATCCATGGGGATGTGGGGCGGGAGGCGGTGGGATGTGGAATGGGACACCAAACCAGGGTGCCAAGGGACTCTTTGGGAGCTGCAAAGGGCCTGTTTGTGGTCTGTGATGTGGGGGAGCGCTTTGCAAATGCCGCAGGTCCCACAGCGGGTGCTTTTGGAGCCTCTTTTTGGGCCAGGGGAGGCCCAGGCGGTGCAGACGTGACTCAGCCGGGCGCGTTGCGTGGTGGGGTGTTGGCATCTGTCAAATATCGGGGGATGTTCTGTTGGCTTTTCCTGCTTTTCTAGCATTCGTTATGGGTAGTGAGTGATGGGCCAGGGTTTTCTGTCCAAAAGCATCCGTGGTTTCTCTGCGTCTCTTCAGCCAGAGATGTCCCTGTAGTGGAGAAAACTCCTTTGTCATCTTCCTAATAGCAAATAATATATTAAAATTCTCATGTTTTGTTCCATGTTTTTCATAGGTTAGCAGCGCTTGCTGCTTTTGGTGCTTTTTAAATAACGTTATCTGCACAGTTAGATAACTTAGCTTTTACAGGTCTGTGTATCACCCCATCTGGTGTGGGTTGTTTATAGCCCCTCCGTTTCTCAGGTTCTGCTGTTTATATCCATCCTCTCTCTTGAGGAGATCCCTCACGTAGGTATCTCCCTCTCATGACCGCATGGTAAAGAAGCCATCTAATTATTGCTGAGGTCTTCTCATACAGGGATGGAGGAAGAGAACCCTCCTCCTCCTCCTCCTCCGCGCACAGGCGCCTGGTTTTGTCCAGCCTTTGATTTTCCAAGAATTCCAATTTTTCCTGTTTCTCTCAAGAGACCCAGCCGTAGCTTAACAAACCCGAGTGCTGTAGCTCTTGTGCTGCTCGCCACAGATACTCCTCTTGAATTTCATGCTATTGTTCCTATTTAGCTACCTAAACAATGCTGAGTAGTTTGCAGTGCTCGGAGATTATTTTGAGTATATAGAGTATTTTGAGCATTTTGAGTATATAGAGAGTGTTTAATGAGCTCTTTTCCGCGCTGCTTGCTGGACTGGGTGCTGCACGTTGTCGCAGAAGGCTGCACTGGTCGTTGAGTTGGTTTTGGTGCTCTTTGCTGAACTCCAGCAATTGCCATTTTCTGGTGAAGTCTCTCAAAACGAATGTTTGCTCTAGACCCAGTTCTTCGAGAAAAGCAGAAAATGCTTTGCTGCGTTACCTGGGTGGGATGGGGTTTGCAGGGAAACCAGTTGAGTTGGAAACACTTGTTGAGTGCCAGTGGTGGGCACTGAGCAGCGAGATTCCGGCCCTCCAAAACGGAGAGGGAGGTTTTCCCTGAGCCCAATATACGCCTGTAGTTATTGCAAGAACATGAATTTTAGCACTTTACTCTTCTCCATCTTGTATCTTAGAACAGGTTTAATCTTCACTCATACATCCCACCAACAAATTCTTCTGTTGGTCTTCCTTTTCCAGCAGACACGTCTGCATGGTTTCCGTCTTGCTTTTCTCTTTCTCTTGATTTCTTTTCAGTGCTTATCTTTCTGGTCCCAGGATTTCAGAAAAAGCAATTCACCTCTAAATTTTTTGAAAATTTAAACATCATGTCAAAAACTTGGAGGCATTTTCTACCCAAGTATTAAAGTTACTGGCGTGTCCCAAGGAAGTCCTGCCCTGCTGTGACTCCCTTTTCTAGCCTGGGCCCTGAAGGAACCCACTAGTGTGAAGTTAGCCTGGACTGAGCAGGAGGAAGCTCAAAACCAGCAAAGATTTGGAGGAAATTTTGCAGTTTTAGAGGAAAGGAGCATTGACCATGCAGCCTTTTCCAGCCTTGCAAGTAGGGCATCATTACTCTGCAGTTTTCTTCCATCAGGTGGTTGCTGGATATATTTAAATGCAATTTCAGGTCCTATGCCTTGTCATATCGACTCTAACTTCAAACTTCTTTTGCGGCAAACTATCAGAAATGCAGCGCCTTTTAATTCTCCTGTACCTGGGATGTCTTTGAATTGGGGTTTGATTCTGCTGTAGCATAAGCTCTCTACCTCCTGCGAAGGCTCCTCTTTCCTTTCCTATGGCATTTCATGAATAATAAGTAATAAAATAGTGAAGGCTTCAAGAATTGTAATCCAGAAAAATGTGTTTTTCTGTCTCCACCATCTGGCAGGAAGAATGAATTTTCCGGCCCGACGTTGCAAGGGAGGAGCTTGGCGCTCGGCGCACTCAAATTTCCGTTTTCCGTGCATGACTTTTTCCCTCCTTTTTCCTTTTTCTTTTTTTTTAATTCAGATTCTGTTTAGTTTTTACAAAATATTGGTTTATTGAGAGCTGTGTTACCCTCAATTGACATATTGACATTTGCAGGAACGGCGCGGTTATTGTCTCGCAGAATACAATTCTGCGCTGACAGGTTGCCGTCATTCCTGGGGGCCGGCGCGCGGGGCTGGTGGGACCAGCTCATAAATAATGGAGGCGGATGCGGCTGCTCGTCCTCGCCCTCGGAGCCGGCCCGCTCTCGGCCCCGTCTCCCACATCCCGCGTTTTCTCTCCATAGTTCCCGATGCTGTTGTTGGGATAGGATGCTGGCCCTTGCCTCGTGGTCCAGGCGGGAGCAGCCGTCGGAAGCGGCTCCAAGCGAGCCTGGATTTGGGGACCACACGGCGATGTCTTGACCTGCTTTTGGGCATGAGTTAGCTCTAATTAACCTCCTGCCCAAATGAGCTAAGTCCTTTCCGTTACCGCGCGTTGGCACGTTTCCCCCTGCTGTTGTTTCTGGCAGCAGGTAGGGCTAATATCGAGCACCCTCCGCGTGCCAGAAATGCGTGTCCATTCGGATTTAACCTCGTTGGTGCAGCGCTGCGTCCCCGGCACGCGCTGTGACCATGCCCAGCTTGGAGAGAGACCCGCACCCATTGCCTTAATTACGTTAACGAGAGAGAGGAGACGACTCTTCTCTGCCATCTGCCCACAGAAAGGTGCCGCGCCTCGGACCTCCTTCGCCTGTGCCTTGTTCCCCAGCACTGCACCTGAGTTTGCTTCGTCTTCGCGTTACCTCTTGCAGGCAGCAGCTCTCCTGCTCCTGTGTGAGGTCTGCAAGCGCTTGCTCCAGAGGCGCTCGTGGTTTCCGTACCTACACGGGCCCAAAGGCGGTTCCTGCTGGCGCGAAAACCCCTCGTCAGGAAATGCGGCCGCGAGTCCTGAGCACCCCTTGGTTTTATTGCATTTGTTTCTCACAGGGCTTTTATATTTAAAAAACAAAAATCCATATAATGTAGTTTGCCAGCAGGTGGTTGGAAAACCTGAGGGAAAGGAGGATTGGCGGTTTTTATATTTTTCCATACCATTATTCTCTTGACTGTTTTCACTATTACTTTAGTGGCATGGAATTTGTTTTATATCAAATTACGGAAAGTCAGCAGTTTTAGCCGTCCACGTAATAGCCGTCTTGATGATGCTGGGATCTCGGCAGTGTAAGATCCCAGCACATCACGCTGAACTTGTTTAAGATGCGTTTTTAAAGCCAGCAAGAAGCTGCTTTAAAAACCTCAAGTTGGTGGCGGAGCGAGGGAATTTGGGGCCCTGAGACACAGCGGGTCCCTCTGGCACCCAGCGCTGCGGGTCTGCGCCCAGTTTGGCTACTGGGGGTGATGGGTGTCATGCCCAGGACGAGGGTGGCTGAGGTCCTCCCTCCCTGCTGCCCATCTCCGAGCCTGGTGATAACTTAGAACAAGTTATCAGCAAAAGGCCTGGGATGATTAAGGGAGGAATAGTTACGCTACGGGCTATTTTGCACAGCATCCATTCGTTGGCATCACTGTTGCACACACATACGTTAAGATACCATAAAGATTTCAGAATTAGGTGCTCAAATGTGTTAGAAATTGCCCAAATTACGTCTAAAATTTAAAATCAAATTTTAAATTAAAATATTCAGATTTCAGTCTGCTTTAAAATTCATCTCATTTAGCCATACTTTTAAAACAAAACTGCAGTATAGTTTCATTGCAACGTATATGAAAACCAGCACGCGCGTCTTCCGGCGGCTGTGCCGGGCTTTCAGGTGGCGGCTGCAGTTGCAAACCAGGGAATTGCAGTGGAACTGATTTTTTTTTTTTAAAGTCTGCTTTTTAAACATGAATCTTTCTTACTTTCCCTCTCAGCCGCCACAAATCAGACCTTTCATAGACTGTGTGATATTAATCTCCGTGGGGTGGACACCTCTATGCAGGTGTTGTAGCTCTCCCCCTCCTCCAGTTAATTTGGGTTTTAATCTCACTTCCTGTGATTTATTTACTTATGTCATGTGTAATGTGTCTGGCTCCTTGCCCTGGCTCTGCTTTCCCTCTTGGATACATCTGATCCGTTCCTGCTATTCCGCTGGTGTCTTCCCCTCCCACTTTTGTTCTTTGGGAGAAGCTAGTTTGGCACCGCGGTCTCTAGTGACGAGTTTCCTGCGATTTGCTGCCTCTTGTTCAAATTTATTACCATTATATACATTAGTTTGGGGGTGTGTATGGGGTTTTTTTTCTCTTCAAACATATGGATTAAAGTAACGATGCTTGCGGTGCAGGAGAACATGGGCTCCAGGGTGGTGGGTCCTTGTTTTGTTGAATTCCCTTGGGCGCCTTCCAGCCCCTTTTCTCGTGCTCACCATCCTGAGCATCCTCCTGTGGTTGTGCTCAGTCCTCCTGCCAGGCAGAAGGTTTTCATGGGGGACAGGGCAGGGCTTCAAACAAGAAGACAGGCTCATGGACTTGCCAGAAAGCAGACGTTGGAGCATCTGTGCCAGAATCCGAACTCAGATGGGACATTTACACTGGCCGAGGCCTGTGCAGTTGTGCGGGGTGCAGAGCCACAGAGATGGACAAACCCTTGTTCCGTAGAGCACGGAGTGGCTGCTGCTTTGCCAGGGGTCAGAGAGGGGTTTGCTTGGGACATGGACACGTGGAGACACAAGTGGCTGTTGGGCTTGCTCTTGTATTCCTGAGCTGCTCGACAGCGACCCCGGCAGCAGTGGTGCACGTTACGGGGGACACTCGGCTCCTCGGAGTCCAGTAGTCCCTAACGGGCTCTGCAACCTCTTAAATCAAAGCCGAATGTCAGGTAGCTTCATAACTGTCTTCTTAACATGAATTAACCCGGCTTGAGAAGCGCAGTATATCTTGAGGCAGCAGAGCAAGCGGCACGGAGGCTGCGGGTGCGCTTGAGCCTCAGCGGGAATTCTCCAGTGGAGGGAAATGCGGGAATTCTCTGGTGGCAAAACAGCAGCTTCCCGGTACAGGCTCCGGGATCACAGCCGGTGGCGAACGTCCCATCGTGTGGCGGTGACGAGACCTCCACCTTGTCACCTAACGTTAGGTTTGAGCTTCAGCAATGTCCACGTCCCGCTTGCCGTGTTGCTGTTGCTCCTCTTTCACTAAGCCGTTCGTCAGGAGCCTGCCAGCGCTCACAGCTAACCACGGGCAGAATTCAGAGGTTTTTCAGAAATCCCTGGAGGCGCGGTGGAGCGAAACGGGGGGAAATCTCCCAATTTCGCTGCTCGCTGTTGCGCTGCGCAGCCGAGCGGGATCAGCTCCGCGTGTCTCCAGCAAAGCAGCTTGTCCTCATGGCCAGTACGAGGGAGCCGGGGGCGCTTGGTGGGAGCCTGTTGGAGCTTCCGCATGGTGCAGACTCCATAGAGCCTGGGAATATCCACAATAAAACAGGGACATTAATATGAGGCACATCAGTTAAACAGATCAGAGTTGCTAGTGTCTTACCTAAGAGTTCCATTTTTTTAATCACAGTCTTGAAAACATTTTAAATCACGTCTGTGCGATGCCGATGTTATAACGTCAAGAATGTGCTTAACTGATTTACTGGTTTGGTGAAGCAATGTGACTTTTGTTTTCTTAACCTATCCCAACACTTCTGCTCCACTGGCCTTGGTTAAATTTCTTGCAGTTTCCTTGCAAAGGAAATAAGATCTCTGTTTATCATCTAGTCAAATGCCTCTATCATTATTCAAGCTACACGTCCGAGGTCAAAGATAGTATCACGTTTGCAGGAGTATGGAGTGGATGATCCAGTATGAATATGCTTTCTTAACGTAAAAGCAAAGTTTATTTTTTAAAGGGCAAAAATAGGAGTTAATCAGATTACTGGAAGTTAAGAGCCGCACTTTTGGATCGAGCTGAGGTTTATTTATTTCCATGCAGGGCTTAAGGAAGATGAAAATCTCCCGCTGTCTGTCTCTGTTGGCCCTTTATGGCTTTGGGCAAGGCCAGTGTGGATGAAGCTCTTCTCCCATTTCTGCCATGTGGTTCCGTGTTTCAAGTCATGCTTTTCAGCAGTGTTTTAAGCCCCTTTCCTTCTCTATGGTTCACTTGCATAAAGTTTGGTGTTTAAGTAATGCTTTTGCTCAGTTTCCTTGAATGCGTTTTAAAGTGTAACACCCAACTGTTAAAATTATTAGCATCTTTCCCTTCAGCACCTTGTCAGATAAAATGTCTCATTACCATGCAAATAGAAATAGGTCCTGTTTCCAGGCAGGCACAACGCTACTGTACAGATTACAACTTCTTGAACCAGAACGTAACACTGAACAGTAAACCCATAACAAATACTGCCTGTATTGTCTGCAGGAAACTATTGTCTGTGGGCGAGGAGGAAATGTCAGGCCAGGGCCTCAAGCTGTAGCACCAGAATCTGGATTTCCATGCGGTGCTGAGGGCGGAGGATGGCACAAATGTGCCGTGATCATTCACAGCTCCTGGTCCATGGTCCTAACTGATGGTTAAGCACCTGGGTGGGAATGAAACTTGGTTTGGTTGAAGACGCCAGCTCTGTCTTGCAGCGGGAGGTGTAGGAGGACCTGGTAGGTCCCTGCTCCACAGCTGGGCTTCTCTTCTCTCTTTCTCCATCCAAGGACCAACGTCTTGTGTCCTCGTTGGAAGTGCAGGAGGCTGCAGCGCACGGGTGGTTCTGCCCACCCCAAGTGTCTGCGTGTGCCATGCATGTCGGGGCCCTTCTTTCCCAAACGTTCGCCCTCCATTTCCTGTGACTCCCCTTCCACAGGAGGAGGGCAGGCCTGGAAGGTCCTCCCATCTCCCTAGGACTTGCTCCCTCCCCGGCTTTCATGGCATTGCTCCTTATTGGGAAGAGGGAACGAGGGCGAGGTGGGAATCCACCCTTGCTGCAGCTGCCCGCTCTTCCCAATGACTCCTTCTCTCTTTGAGCCACTTGGCCAAGAGCCCTGTGTGGGTCTCGCTGCGAGTCTTCTAGGGATGGACAGTCCCTTCCCAAGACATCTCTTCTTCTAGGGATGGACGGTCCCTTCCCAAGGCATCGCGGCTCCACGTCTGTTTTACCTCGTTCTTGGGCCCGTGTGTCCAATTGCAGCCTCCAGCTTTGGGCAAGGCAGCATGAATCTCAAGCAAGCAGCACGTCCCTCCATGCACGTTGACCATTTCATGTGCAGCAAGGACAATACCTGGTGAAAGGTACCAAAATCTGCCGTGAAATTTGGATATTCTTTCAGAAAATGGACTAAATTTGCTGCAAATCTTTTGTTCCACGCTCCAGAATTAAGGGCTTGATCTTATTATGCAAATGTTTTCTGTTTGCATAAAATCAAATGTTACTTCAAATGACTTTCACAATATTTTCGACGCCTTAAACTCCCAGCATAGGTTTGAGATGCATTATGCAGCTTCGGTCCTGATCAGACGTCTCCTCTAAGCTGCAAATAAAATAACAGGAAAAAAACGGAGAAATGGATTATTATTCTTTTCAGCCGTAAATATGTCGTGACAAAAGCAAGCGCTGTTTGTATTTTTGTAGAATCCTCTTTGCCACAAAGTCACAGTTTGAAGTTCTGGGTTTGATAACTGTAGGTATTAATATGGGTTAAGAAGTCAGAATGTGTAGTGAGAGCCTTGTCCTCTGGAATCCCCAGTGCCAGAATATTTTTCTGGGAAGCAAAATTGCCTTTTTCATGAAAGAGTCAGAGTGTCACCAACTATGGATGAGTGCTATCAATTGTCTCATGAGACTATTTCATGGAATTTTTATTCTTGCCTCCAAACTGTGGCACAGTTCCCACTTCACCTCTCAAATTGAATGAAATAAGAAGCTTTCTGTCTTAACATTTCAAAATCCTCCAATACTTCCAGTCCCTCATTGTCAGACACACTTGGGCATTTTCTCCTTTTTATTGACAAAAAATAACTAGCGGCATTATCCTCCAGGATGAGCCTTCTTGACTGGATATTCCGCGGGGCTCCGCGCTGCGGCGTGGGCACCTCG